TCGCGGTCGAAGGAGGAGGGAGGGGAGGGGAGGGGGGAGCTGCACGAGGCCGAGGAGGCAGAGTGGGCGGGGAGACAGCCGGATCGGATGGATCACGGGCGGTGGATGGGCGCGCCGCGCGGTACGGGTGTGGGTGGGTCGGCAGTGGGTGGGTCGGGGCGGATAGGATTTGCATCGCATTTGGGTGCCCGTGCTTTAGTTTCACCCTGTTTTGCCCGTGTTTTCCTGTGTATGTATGGTCTTGGATCCATCTTGACGGCGACGGGTCGGTGGCTGGCGCTGCTGCTGCTTCGGAACAGGGCTGTTTGTTGGAGTAGCCGGCTCGCACGGCTTTCCCGTTACGGTACGGTACCCACACCGCACGAGGAACACGCCCGCCCTGTTGGAGGAGGCATGGCGCGGATCCGACCCACAGTGGCAGCGGATCCATAGGGCCCACCCGCCATTCATAGTAAAACAGTCGAGATCTCTGGCGCGCGCGTACGCTGCTCCGCCCCGGCCGCGCGAATCTTTCGTGATGGGTGCAGCGTACTCCGCCGCGCCGAGTCGTCACGCTCGCTCGCTCGCTGCCGCCCGCACGGCCCGGCCCGGCCCGGGGATCCTCTGCTCTACGGACGCGGGCCCATCCCTGCTCCACGCCGACACTTTCCTCTCCAGCAGCACCTTTTTTTTTTGTTGGCTCGCCTGGCCGGCTAGCATAGCCGGCCGGCGGTGCAACCACCGACGTGAGATCTCTCTCCGGCGTAGTAGAGTAGCTGCTGCCTATAGCCCAATAGCATGTCCCTCACCGACCCGGCATGCAACCGCACCCACCACGGAGCCAGTCATGTCGCGGCAACTAAAGCAGAGAGAGGCCGAGGCGACCACCTTACGTACGCTTCCTTCTTTTCTGTACCTGTACGACGTAGCCCCAAGCAAGCTGTCACAGCAACGGGCGCGCGCGCGTGCGTGCTTGCTGTACAGCCACGGCCAGCTAGCCAGCCATGTGATGGATGGCGCATGTGACGCCAGCGAGCGGCTGCAGTTGCGAAGTCCAGCAACGCGGCTGGACCAGTGCGGTGCACTGCTCGCTCGACTCCATCCATCCATCCATCCACGGGAGTAGCACATCCGTTGACACGTGGACACCATCAGTGGATAATTCAAGAGAAATGAATGGATGTTTTCATGTGATTTAATTCCATTTCACACTGCTACTGATACAGGTACTGGTACTAGTGTGGTCTGGTGTGCTGCCAAATTCAGTGCAGCACAGTGCCAAGTTGGGTGGCGTGGACTGCTGCAAGCAGCTTCCCTTCCC